TGGAATTACTAGATTGCACCAATATCAAACCAATTTTTCATCTCAATATTCGATTATCAATCCATTGCCAATATTTTAATAACATTGAAATTTTGTGACCAGCCGATATCAATTTGTCAATATTTATTTGATATTGGAGGAATATTAACGATCACAATATGTCAATTTTCATGATAAGCTGATATTGCATTTCCAATATCAAATCGATCTTGGAAAAAAATATTGACTCAATATCCAATTTATGATGGTTAGTGAATATTGCATTTCATTGTCCAGCAATGTTGTAATAACATTGAAATTTTGTTTCCAGCCGATATTTATTTACCAATATCTATTCGATATTGGTGAAATATTGACGATCACAATGTCAATTTCCATGATTGGGCTAATATTGTATTTCCAATATTGAATTAATCATGGAAAAAAATATTGCATCAATATCAGATTTATGATGGTTGGTGAATATTGCTCTTCGTTGTCCAGCAATATTGCACTGATATTGGTGATTCAATATCATTTCGATATTCAATAATCAATCCAGTGCCAATGTTGTAATAACATTGAAATTTTGTGACCAGCCGATATCAGTTTGCCAATATTTATTTGATATTGGCGAAATATTAACGAATACAATATGTCAATTTTCATGATGGGCTGATATTGTATTCCCAATATCGAATCAATCTTGGAAAACATATTGTATCAATATTTTGTATTTTTATTCAGCCAATATTAGTTCATCAATATGCGACCCATTTCAGATAGATATAACTAATGAAATATGCCAGAACCAATATTGCACTGACATTGGATTTCTAATATCGAATCGATATTCGTGATATTTCTCTTAGTATTTGAGCTAGGTACGTTATAACAGCTGGCGCCACTAGCAAGCCTCCAACAAACGACTGCTGAGAGACATCAAATACCGCATTCGTTCAACTTGCAAACTGAGTATTCTGGGATACAGGAAACGAAAATGGATTTGATATTGTACAAATATCGCAATTTTTTAATGAGGCTAATATGGTTTCGAATTTTGATTTCGAGTTTTGTTGAAAAACGAAATTCAATATTGGTTGAATATTATAATTCAACATGAAGATATTATTGCAAAATAATCACATCCTCATTTTAGCCAATATCGATTTCACATATGAAAATTATAAGAAACCAGTTTTCTATAAGTTGGCATCATATATTTGTCCAATCTTGTATACGAATATTAACTCGATATTGGATAGAGCATATCGAAACAAGATTGAAATACAACATAGCACCAAGATTCCAGAATGTTCACATTGATTTATTGACCCAATAATTAAAATTAATATTTTCCCAACATTCACCATTTATTGACTCAATATTGAACCAATATTAGTGTTCTACCTGGAAGATAGGTAGATCCTGAAAAAAAAAAGAAGATAGGTTCCTATAAGGAGGTTTTTTCCATACGGAGACATGTAATTGATATAATTCAATGGGAATTTGAACTATATGACATTCGTAAGGACTCTTCACAATATTTTTCTGTAATAAAAATTACCTTCCTCAATTTTCCAGGGGTAGACTGAATTTCATCTTTGATATTCAAACACCAAACATCCCGTATATGATGAATGCCTAAAAAAAATTGAATTGGTTAGCTTGATCTGAAACTACAAAGAAGGTACCTACTCCTGTTAATCGTCGATATACAAAGATTCGTTCCCGAATAGAGTATATTGATGAACCAATTATTTATTCTTTGTAGGATTCAATTTATTATGTTTGATATTTATTGACAATGAAACATGCATGTGAATGTTACATGATTATTAGAAACCACTCTTCCTTCTTTATTCTTTATTTACATCTTTTCATTGTTTCTTTGGATATATTGGGATACTTTATGCATCTATTGATATATTGATATTCATCATCTAGCATTCTAACGTATATTGATTCTTTTTTTTGAGTTATGTGTTTTGTTCTATCCGATAGTTTTTCGCTATGAATTTGGTTCGGAATATAGAATGGCAATCCAAATATAATGAATGAGTGCAATCAACGATTTCTCTGATAATTAGCTGTCCGCAAACTTCAGAAATCTTTGTTTCTCTAAGGTTGATAATGTTGACTCATCAAATATTCTTATGAGTGATTCTTGTCAATGTTCCTATTTAGAATGAAGTAAAGGAACCTTCATTCTGTCTCTGTATCATCTCAATGCTATATATTCCTGATGAAATCCCGAGTTGAAAATCCTATCACGATTTTCTTCCTATCCATTTGAAAGGGCCATAAATTGGAATGACTACACCAATGTATTTGGATCTTTATTCATACCGTTGAATTATTTTGATAAGATGTAGCCAAATCAATCGAATTCTACATCATTTTATTCACTTCGCCCTTGTTCATTTTGATTCCTCAAGGAAGATCTATGATTATTGCGAATATATTTAGCTATCTGTATTTGTACAGATTCCTCTAACTCGAGTGGGTTGTTGTATCTCACGAAATATCATTGTGACAGCAACATTTGAAATAGTACTGATGATAGATTGTATCAGAGATATGTTTTATCTCATGACAATATTTTGATTGATACACATTATCGATAATATTCTCCTGGCGTCAACTTCAAAGCAGTAAGTAAATATTGGTTGGCCAATTGATCCTACAAAAATCATGACAAAATCATCCGAGGAAGCTGCTTCTCAATAATCCAATTTCTTTTTCTTGTGGAAAGCTACTTGAAACCTCAACAGCTTCTCATGATCGATGCTTCGAAATTTTACTTCTCAAAGTTTAAAAAAAAACTCCAGAGCTTGGATGGGCAACACAGGAGGGCCTCATGAATGGAAGGAGATCGCTGCCCCCGTTACCAGTTTGTTAAGTGGTACAGAACAACAGGATTATCACAATGGATCCATTCAATCGGTCTAATATTCATTCCCAAGCTGCCAGTAATATTCGGGAATTCAATCATTTAATTTACACTAAACACAAGCCAAGATATTTGAGTAGACCCTGTTCGACTATCTTTATTACGATGGAATCTGCAGTCATGCACATACTTCACAGTTCACACTGCACTGAACGTGATACGACCTGACAAACAATTTTTTTGTCTGATGAAAACTGACTCTTCCTAGACGCGTAGAAAGCGATATTATTGACAGTTGGTGATGAATTCGCGTATGCCTGTGATTTTCACAATGACACCAAAATTTAAGACAAGTCCAAAGTACACCTACGATAAAATGAAAAGTGATTGTTCCTTACACTCTTTGTGTTTACGGCTATCAATGACATTCCAATTATATTACTTCAATAGTAACAAGGAGCAAATGATTTGTATTAAGTGTAGCCGTACACTGAATTATGAAAACTTTGATAATGATGAATAGTTTATGATCTGAGTTCTTTTTGATTTGCAGCAAAAACTGCACTTTGACGATCTCGGTGTACAAAGCATAGATCTGGCCCGGTTGAGAATAATGTTTTCATATATGAGCAGCAACCAAACATACGCTGATGCTCTCAAATGTCCAATAAGAGACGAGCTATTCGCCTGATTGATGATGCCACACTCACTAATTCCTTGAAATTGTACCCCAGCTGAGCTGGTATTCATGCGGTAAAACGAAGCGTTCACCTATAAATTTCCCATATCGAACATTCACCTCAAAAGATAACTCATTATGTAGCAATAGTTGAATTATACTGTGTGTTATACAATTTGATCCACCTCACCCCTGTACTACCGTATTTCTCATGCGATTTGACATTATTTTCCTCTCATCAAATACAATTTCTAGGCCTACAAACTGCGATCACAAAAACTCCATTAAAATTATAGAAAACGGATTCAGACTAGTCACAATTACTCCTATATCAATTTTCAATTTCTCATAACGGGTGTTCTTTATCAACTTTACAATTTTTTGATAATTGAATATTTCAAGTCACCGTTTATAATAATTCTTATGAAAATTTGAATGATACCAGGCATGATGGTATAACCATAGATTGACGACTCCCCGTATAACGATTAGATCATCTGTCCACAAAGTCAGATATATTATTTTTTTTCTGTGACGGGAAAAAAGTTTGGCATTTCATCTCTGTTGGCAGGTTATAAAATGTCACTTTTCATAAATTACTTTTTTCCCGTGGGAAAAAAGTGAGTACTTTTTTCCCGGATATATATCACATATATATACTCTGTTAATGGCTTTTGTTGTGCTATAGTTCCGAAAAATGAGTCAATAATACCGTCTTCGAGAAAGAACTGCAAGTCCTTTTATCTTCCATTCGACTTCGCGGTTTCGTATATTACTAAACAACTACTGAATTCGTAATTTTTTAAAATCAAATCACAGAATTGAACTGACAGAAGTGACATCAGATATTTGATTACTTCAAAAGAATGATGAAGATGTCTATAAAACGAAGGTGTCCCTACTGTTAAAAACATGAAATTTCACGTCGATAATTTTCACATTTCGAAATAATGAAATATCTTCTCAATATTGATTCGTCCTTCCTTCTGTCACAGAAAAAAATAGTGTATTATACACGGGAAAAATATTAGATTTTAGCTCACGGTTTTTTGTCTCCCTCCGCTACGCGTCGGGAGACAACACAACCTGGAGCTAAAATCTACTACTTTTTTCCCTTGTATAATAAATAACTATTATTCCGTCCGTCGAGGCAAGACGTGTTTTAGTGTGCTCCATTGGTGATCTAATTTATCATTGTTCTACTGTGAGTACTACCGATATTTTTATATCAGTGTAACTAGAATCTAGAATTGCATTTTATGCAACTAATGATCGTAGTATCACGTCTAGGAAAAATCAGTTATTTCATGATTAATCGAAACCTTTTGGTATCAATCAACTGTATTGAGCATAAAAAAAGTTATCGTATCGGGTTCCCCAAGTTTTTAATACTCGAAAGAAAAAGAGGCTCACTCGTAGTCAAACAAATCCATTGTCATAGTCTATGAGCTTGAATTCGAATCCTAGTGATGGTTGAAATATCTAAAGAGGAAATTTATAAAATGTTTGAGAAAATAACACAACAAAATGATAATCTGAGTAAACAAGTAGATAATTTGAAGGATGAGTTGCGTACATACAAGAAAACTATTCAGAATAAAATTGATACGTTGGAGAAACAAAACGAAGATCTGAAAGAAGAGAATGTTAAATTGAAGGATCGCTTAATAAATTGTGAGAGGAAAATCAAAAAATACAATCTGGTCATCTATAATCTTGAAGGTGAAAATATTCAACAGACAGTTGTGGACTTACTGCACCAAAAGCTGAAGATTAATTGTGAAGCGAATGACCTCAGAGATTCTTACCGATTGAATTCTGGAGGCAAACATAACAAACTTCACCCCATTCTAATTGAATGTATGAATAGTCGTCTCAGGGCACAAATTCTTAGTGAAGCGAAGAAGTTGAAAGGAACAGGAATCTTCATTTCTCCTGATTACACAGTTGAAGACTACCAGAAGAAAAAGTTATTATATCAATTTCAAAAACTCGCCAGAGGACGAGATCAAAGTGCAACAATTAGAGGAAATAATCTCGTCATCGATGGAGTACAGTACAGCCTTGATGAACTACAACAAATGAAAAGTGTCTCTTCAGATGTTGATCAGAGTGAATTACACCGTAGTGATAGTACTTCATCAGCTAGCAGTGCTTCTCAGAAGAGATCTCGTGAATTGAACGACCAAGCAATCAAACCTCCAAAGAAAACACTTAGATCGCAAACAATCAAATAGAACTTTACATTTAGTATTATACAATTCTTTTCTCACTCTTTTTTGTTTATATTGTTTATTTGTTATTCTACTCAAATTCTTTTTTTTTGTCTCTATAATAATTATTGTTAATTATTGATCAGAATTAGTATAGATATATTTCCTGTTTTTCAAGAATCTGGCCCATATACTATACTGCCTGAATACATCATTTCCTTGCATGCATTGAACTCTATTGGAGATTTATTTGAATTTTTGATTTTTACTGTCGTCTTTACTCTCGAATTTTATGATTTTGTTTGATTCATTCAAAATGTTGATTTCCGTAGGTCATATAAATATTTGTTCATTGACTACAAAACTAAATGAAGTCGAGCGTATTATGAATGCAAACAAATTATATATTTTGGCTATATCAGAAACTTGGTTACATTCAGGCATTGCTGACAATCATGTGAAAATCGATGGCTATAATATTATTCGGAATGATAGAAACAGTAAACGAGGAGGTGGAGTAGCATTATTCATCAAAGCTAGTTTGAATCATAGACTTATAATTTCGGAGAATGAGTCATTTATTGAACATTTGTGGGTAGAAATTAAGTTAGGAAAAGAAAAAATTGCTGTTGGCGTGTGCTATAGACCTCCTAAGAGTGATTCAGTAGCTTTTCTCAACAGATTTGAGAATACATTAATTGGTATAAATCCTGAATTTGATAAAATAATTTCTCTTGGAGACTTCAACATAGACTACCTCACCCCTCAGTCGAACTTAGTTAACAATTTCATGTCTGTCACGGATTCTTTCAATCTGTTGCAACATGTGTCTGAACCAACCCACATTACTAATAATACTATGACATTAATTGATCATCTGTATACTAATTTTGAGGTGACAGATTCTGGAGTTACTGATACTGGCGTAGTGAGACATTTCTTAGTTCATTGTTCATTTGAAATAGGCGATCATGATATAGCATCCAAAACTATCACCTATCGTGATTTTTCTAAAGTGGATTTGAATATCTTTTATCGCGAGCTCGAATGTAAAAACTGGAATTATTTTTATCAAATTAATAGTATCGATGGAAAGATAGATTATTTGAATACCAATATTTTAGAATTAGTAGACGAACATATTCCCACCAAAACTTGTGTTTTCAACTCAAGTAAAAAAAGACAACCATGGATCACGGACAATATTAAACTGATGCAACGCTTGAGAGATAAGGCATTTCGAAGGCATAGGAAATCAAAATTGTTGGCACATTGGGACTACTATAAACAATTGAGAAACTTTACATCATCCGCTATAAAAAGAGAGAAAAAAGCATATTTGCAATTCAAACTCACCAACTGTTCTTCTAAAGAAAAATGGAAAGAATTAAAGAAATTAAATATCACTTGTAAACGGAAAAATGATTTACCAGCATCATTGAAAAAAGCCGACGAATATAATAATTTTCTCATTAATGAATCGAGAGATAACCGTTCACCAGATGATGAGTTGCTCAATTACTATCGTAATAATATTAATGAAAATATCATTGACACATTATCGTTTGAAAAAACCACAGTAGAAGAAGTAATGCGTATCATACAGTCCATGAAGACCAATGCTGTTGGTTGTGACAAATTGAATATTCAACTAATTATCCTCTGTTCATTTTGCAATTTATAACTGACATTTTCAACGATTGTATACGTCAAAGTTATTTTCCGTATGCTTGGAAGAAATCATATGTATTACCATTACCTAAAGTTACAAACCCTACTGAATTCAATCAACTAAGGAGTATAAGTATTTTACCAACGTTGTCCAAAGTTTTAGAAAGAATATTAGAGCGTCAAATCAGAGAATATGTAGTCGAGTGGAAACTACTACCGTTAAATCAATCTGGTTTCAGGAGTAGGTACAGCTGCTCGTCTGCTTTGAGCGCTGTCACTGACGATATTGTGAAATCACTGGACAACAACGAACTATGCTTATTGATTCTGATAGATTATTCTCGTGCTTTTGATACTTTGAATCATGAAATTTTGTTATCAATTTTACATTACGTTGGCTTCAGTGATGAAGCTGTGAAATTTCTCGAGTCATATCTCTCTGATCGAGAGCAACAAGTTAAAATTGATAACGATATTTCAGGTAGTTTAGTAGTACAACAGGGTGTACCACAAGGTAGTATTTTGGGCCCTCTTTTATATACTCTCTATACATCTAACTTTCATCGTCATTTTTATCATTGTAACTACCATTTATATGCCGATGATACGCAGGTTTATTTTTCTTTCAAATTAAAAGATATTCAGAATGCAAATTTGAGGATCAATCATGATCTATCAGAACTTGGATCATTATCTGTGAAACATCTCTTGAATATAAATACCTCAAAGTCCTGTGCTGTTTTGTTTGGTAGTGAGAGTCAGAAAATAGCGGCAAAGAGCCAGTTGCAAATTTTCATTGGAAATGACCAACTGGACTTCAGTGAACAAGTCAAAAACCTTGGTCTGAATTTAGACTCAAAGTTAAGGTTTGAGAAACATGTTACAATGAAAATTAGAACAGCTTATGCTTCTCTCAAACTTTTGTATCCTCATAGACATAACATGAATCCACTTACAAAGAAAATGTTATGCGATTCTTTGGTGTTGTCTCATTTCAATCATTGTGATACAGTATATGGACCTTTTTTACGCAAATCAGATGCATATCGCATACAGAAAGTCCAAAATTCATGTCTTCGTTTAATCCATGGAATAAGAAAAAGAGATCGTATATCTCATGAACTCAAGGAAATGGGTTGGTTGAGTATGTACAATCGTCGTAGACTTCATTCGTATTGCCTTTTCTATAAAGTACTGAAAACTAAACAGCCAGAGTATCTCTTCAGGAAAATCACGTATAGGACTGATATTCACAATTTAAACCTGAGAAGAAAGCATGGTATCAACATACCTTCGCATAATAAAGAAATTTATAAGTCATCTTTTTCCTATCAGATTGCGACTGTGAGCCATTCTCTGGATATACCAAATTTCTCCCTATCATTGAATTCATTTAAAAATAAATTTAAGAAAAAAATCCTTTCACAGCAGTGATACGAAACGAAGAAAAAAATGAATCAATAATAGTTGATTTATAATATATTATTATGATAGAGTTCATCTTTTGAAAATTATATCGCCTCGATATACATTTACTTGAAAGACATAACTTATATTATTAGTATTTTTGTTTTGTTTTTGTTTCTAGGGGAGTGTGGAAGAATCGGTCCACTGACCTATCACTTCACCTTTTGTTTGCCACCTATACCTATTTTTTGTACTAACATAATTGTTCAAACATGGAATTTGTTATTGTGTTCATTGGCAGACAATAAACGATTATTATTATTATTATTATTATATATAACGAATAAAACTTATCCTGACTACCATCAGGTCTGGTATTATTCAAATTGTTAAAATAATTATTATACAAGGTGAATTGAATAATGTAATTAATCAAAAATTGTAACGTTAATTAAGAACACTACTCATGAGATATAGTTTCGAATATATTGTTATAGAAGTATTTTTGAGACTAGTCCGAATCGATTACAATTATCACAATTACCTACCTTCATCCATTTTGCTGAGGTTTTGGTGATCGCAGAATGCTAAGAAATTCTGATTGATAATTTCGTTTTGCTCGACACAGTAAATAACTTTGAGCAGTATATTATGAGGAAAAACATTCATGAATTGTCCTAGGAATATACGAGAGTACAGGGGTGGGGTGGGTCAAATAGTATAACAGTCTGTATATGAATCATCTCATCATGATTAATTTCACTAATCACAAAATGGGAATTATCCATGTGAGTACATTGATTCATCAAGTTTGTTTTTTTTTAATAAGTTTTTCGGAAAATATACACAGAAAAAAATAATTTGATAGCATTAACAGAACGGGTTCTGTATCGAATTTAACGAAGAATTATTTCAGCGTTACAGAACTTTTTTACCATAAACAGAACCATTGTCACGAAAGATACAGAATGTTGCAGATTTTCTGTTAATTTTACAATAAATTTCTGTAAGTAGTTGTCTCCGATCATATATAATTTCTTTACTATTCACTTATCATTCTATAATATTGATAGAATAGCTAGGTATAAGATTACAGAAAATACTGTTGGTATTAAAGTTTGATCTGTACTATTCATTTTGATATTTTCAATGATAATTTTATACCAAGAATAGAATCTTCTCTAACACTCATGGAATATTTCGTTAGAATTGACAAAAAATCTTTCTTTGAATATTAAAGTAAATATCTCATGCGGATACGAATAGTTCTGTAATATTGAAAGATCATGAGTGAGGTCATTCTTTCGAAAGAATGTTCTTTAAATGAAACACATAGTTCTGTTTCAGTTCAAGAAACGCAAGAAACATTATGTCATTATTCACCAATCAGATTCGTGCTTACGCTCACCTGATGTCACCGAACATGATATGTATTGGTCTATTTTCAAATTTGGTTACCATCCCTTATACCGCATAGGGCATTATTCATTTTTTATTTAGTATTGACAGTGAATACATCGGTGTTGAGTGTTGTTTTCAATTTTCTTTCCGATTGATAGGTATCAAGGTAAGTGTACTTAACCCTATATCAGCTCAGCGAGATTTGTATACTGGGTACCTACCGATACCTAATTGTGTGATATACATTTATCAATATAGGTACAGGGTGTTACATTAATATGAGTATAGGTATGGTTACATCAATATATTGTGACAACAATGAAGGCGAGAAAATAGAAAGAAGTTCCTATGAACTTTTACTCGTAGTTTTCAAGATAAGAAGTTGATCTATCATCTTAAAAAATTCGTTGAAATTAAAGTGAGTGATCTGGTCCTAAGGTCAGAAATTTACGAATTACTCGAAGTGTGTGGGCATAACGGAATATCTATTACAACAATGACTCATTAGACTTGGAAGCATTATACCAACCCACTTGGATATAGACTGGTATGTTATTATTTGTTCTCACTTTTATCTTGTTTCAGAGGTTTTGGCTCCGTCACTAA